CTGGAACTCTTTTATAAGAAACGATATCATCACATTACAGAGGGCAGTGGGTAAAGAGCAGATTTGTGCCGTCATAAAACCAACCTTATAGATTATACATATGGTTCTTTACTATTCAGTTTGGAGTTGTTTTCAAAGTTGTCCACCGTGACTCTACTCAAGACAAACTATTGATTAAGACCATAAAGTTCTCAGGAAGATGTTTACTGATGTCATAAAGTGAGTATGAAGTACAACAGAGTTAATTCCAAAAATGTCGGTTGCTCCTGAACCTGTCCTCTGTCCTCTCGTGCATCCTGTCCAACATCGGCATCCAACATTTGGCTCAGGCCCCCTTTGTGGCCGGTAAAGTACAATGGGACAAAATTAAATTATATTTTTGCCAAAAAAAAAAATCCTGGAGTTCTGAGGTCGCAGAGAATAATAAACACATCGTACGGATTAACGTTAGTCGACGCCCTCAACATTTTCTGGATGATAGTGGGCAGACAGTTCCATCCAAATTCTTCCCCGTGTGGCTCACCCAAATGCAGCTTTTTTTTGTAAAGACCCATTAGTGCTGGACGGAGCATTAACCTTACATTTTTGTACTCGCCACCTATTCTCCACCAGGCAGCGCCGTGCCCTCTGTGAGTTCCCAGCAGCTCCAGACACGAGCCGCAGGTTGAGCTTATGAATGTTGAAATTGAAGGCGTTCAGATTTGCATGGCTGAACATGGTGAGGCAGGGGAACGGGTCAGAGGGGCTGCAGACTCCAGCTTTTAGAAGGATGAGGCGGAGCCGAGGCCACACGGAGGTGATGGGCTCATTGTACCGACGCGACCTCACACGGAGTGAACAAAAGAGGAGCGGTGTGTGTTTGGACGGGGGGTGAGGAGGGAGAAACTGCTACGATCAAACACCTAATGGACAGACGGACGCGGTGTAAACATCGAAAACATGCTGCAGTGACTGGGATTAAACACAGAACAGCTGAGACAAATGATCCATTAATCGAGTAAAATCGATTGGGGAAAAAATATTTAGTTAAAATATTTTCAGCCACGAAATTATCTTTCAAAGCCACTAACCATCGGTGATATGTGTGTCTTTTATGATCCATTAATCGAGTAAAATCGATTCGGGAAAAAATATTTAGTTAAAATTCTTTCAACCACGAAATTATTAACTTTTAAAGCCAATAAACATCGGTGAAGTGTGTGTGTATTCACAAATATATGTATTTCTGTATGTATATATCTATATATATACATATATACATACAGTATAAACATATATGTGAGTATTTACATAACAGGGTATTATGGTAACAGGTATCATGAATAATCATATTTAATGCACAATTAATGAATCCCCTTAATTAATTACTGCAATAAATCACAATTAATTGTGATTAATCAAGTTAAATAAAGGAATCCAAAATCTGACGGAAAACGTTTTTGGTATATTTTTTAACTGTTCAAAATTAAACCAATTGAAAAATAATCTATAGATTAATCAACTACAAAGTTAATCGACAGCCGTGGTTCTTTTTTTTCGTCAGTACTCACTTGAACAGTGATTTCAAAGACAAAACAGCTCTGAGGTCATCAAGCAGTTTCCTAATGATTTCATTTCCGACAGGACGTGACGGTGTGCGGTGATTGATGGGAGCGACCGCGGAGGATTTTACACCACCAACAAAAAAAGACGGGGCAGAGGTAACTTCAGCTCACTGTAACTCTTTCTACCTCTCTCACTGCGCCCCCTCCTCTCTTGCTCGCGCCCTCTTTAAACCGCTCCATCTTTATAGCTGAACCAATCAATGGCAAACCAGTGTCTATTGTCTGTTCTGTGCTCAGGCCACTGCCCTCCTGCAGCACCTCCCATTATAGAAATGTTTCTTCCCATCACTGCCTTTACTTATCACTTCCCGGGTGACATTGAACTTCCTTTGCCCCGGCCACCGAGACACATCTCTGAACTCACACAATTACTCTTCATCCCCACTAACAATTTAGTAATGAAGTATTGATTTCCAGATTCCACTCTTATGGATGATATTAGATTTTGTTTGATAAACTGTGCCTGGGCCTCTAATCTGCACTGTCCCTTTTCCCACTGTCTGTAAAACAAAGTGCCACTGGAGAGATAATGACCAGAGAACATCGATGAACTCATTTCATCAATTTGTAACACTTGACAATGAAAAAGGGCAGGCATTTTTCAAGCAGCAATGTCAAAGTTTATTGCTCTGGGTACAGTCTTATTGGAAGCTCGACATCTTGAGCAGCGTTCGCCGCTAATTTATGGCCCCCAATGTGCCAGTTACTTTTAAAGGAAATGTTTGGATACTGTGAGGATATTAGTGTTGCACCTGGGTTGTCTGATTTCCAGGACCACCAGGGAACCGTGTGTCATGTTAGAGAACACAAAAAAAAAAAGAAAAGAAGAAGCAGCAGAGGTGAGGCATGCAGCCGGGCTGTTTTTTTTTTTTTTTTTCAATGCAGGAAAATACCATGAAGGACATAAATCGCGCCGCGATGTCACATGTGAGTCGCATTTGCAAAGACGCTGTAAATGCACCGCATCCTGTTTCCTGTTAGAGTATATTCTTTGGTCGTCGAACGTGCCGTTACCGGGAGAAACAAATAGGTAAAGGTTAGGTGTTATAAAGGTGTTATAATCTCTGTTAATTTGTGTCGTGCATTATTCAGGGATACATTAAATCCTTATGTGAGTGAATAAATCTCCTGTGTTTGTGGTCTTTAGGACGAGGTGCTAAATAACAGCATGTAGGCTTCGGCTGAATGTGCAAGTTAAGCAGTTAACCAGTTATTACCTCACGTCAGTAAATCAGCTTTATTTCTTCCAAAGCTGTTTTTATTGTCTCGACCAAGTCACTGTGGAAACAAACCTCTGCAGATCAGTCCAAGTCAGTATGGATTCATTTGTCCTCTGTTGCCATTTTAAAGTACACTGCAGCAGCATTGGTCGGTTCCAGGTGTTTTACTTTGCACAGCCTTCCGTGTGTGTGTTTTTTTTCCAGCATTTCAATATATTCATTTTTTTATCTGTTATCCAGCGGTTCTGTGGAATCATCCGGGGCTGTAAGTGATTTTCCAGACCATAAGTCGTGTTTTTTTAACAGTGTAACTGGTCCTGGGACTTTGACCAGAAGAAACATCCATGACAACAATAAACCCATACAATTTATGGACACTAGTAGGCGCCCTGTACACCCATGACAAGTGAACGCTGCTACTGCGTCTCTAACAGAACACAAATCGTAACCATGAGGACTTCTGTTGAATAAATATTTGCACAAAAAAGAACACAAATAAAATGCAACCAAATACAAAAATCTATACTTTATACTGCAGATTATGAAGTTTGCAGCCAGAAAAGTGTAATCCAGACACAGAAAGAAAGCTAATGAGCTAACTGGAAACGCTCCTGGTGGTGAAGAAGCCAAATAAGAATTTCTGTTAACCAAATAAGAATTTGTTACCATTCTTCCATATTCCATTTGTCTGTTCTTGGAAGTTCTTTGCTCCGGTTCATGTGAGAGCTGCAGCAGGTCTTAGCCCCGCCCTAAATGATCTCATGAGTTGGGTCATCTGATCTGCCATGCCCGAGCCGGGACTAATCAGAAGGAATGCATGTGTATTCTGAACCAGTGGGCAACCGACTTTGAAAATAAAAATAAAAATGACTTCTTAAATATTGTGTTTACACGATGACAATGGTTTGTATGTTTGGTTTGTTAGCACAAGTCGACAGATTACAGGGTGGTTTTCTGATTGAGAAGTTATTCATCTTTTTTAGGTTCATTTAAAAACATTTTTCCCAGTAACTATTTTTCAGAGACACCTCTTCCCGTAACTCCAGATTAGTCCTGGTGATTCAGAAAATGTTGCGATTAAACTTAGTTTCTTTCAAAATCTCATGTTAACAAAGTTGAATCCATACCTGGAATTGGATGAAGAGTTCTAAATATCAGCAGAAGTGTTTGTTTCACCTAGAAACTGAGAAGTTACACTCACATGTTGGCCTTAAATGTTCTTCTCTCTCTTTGCTCAATAACCCTTGTGGCTTTTCTGTTGTTTTTTTTTTTAACTATACTGTGTTCTCCCTGTGCAGACAATTTATCTGGTGCAAAGTCAAATTATTTATTTCCCCTCATTCATCCTGATAGAACGAGAGACCCGGGGAACAACAGCCAATTTAGATTGAAAATCCCAGTTCAGCTCGGGGTAATCTGATTTCTCTGCTCCCCAGAAATCTACATGTATAGTGCTTATCAACTGGATTACTGGCAGGTAGGAAGAATAACCCAATTTGGGGTTACTTGTTTCTCTGTGTGTAGTATTCAGTGTCACATTGCATTAGAAGAGGAGGGCTATTGCTTTGTGGAATTGATGCGTAACTTCCTCGCTGCTCCTTTCCCTGATCTAACTCCTCATTCATTCTCATGTTCTGTTTTTTTTTTTTGCATTCCACAACCACATAGAAAAAACAAAATAATCAAATGTAAATGTACTGCAATCAGATAATGGCTCTAATGGATGCATTTAAAGAAAAAATACAAAGCTGAGTTTCACCACTTTTCCCTTTTTTTTTTTTTTTCATTTGACTTTTTCCCAGCCGGCAGTCTGTGTCTTCGTCCTCACTCTGAGGCAGACATGGTGGAAGTGACAGGACAGAGATGAGTTTACTGGGACGGTCAAAAGGCCAGGAGGCCACAGACTCTATATGGCTGTGCTATGACAATAATACTGCCCTGAAACCCCCCACCCCAACCAACCCCTCCCCATTTGCAGATATTATACAGGGTCGAGTATGGGTTGCGGTAAAGAATGACCACCATCCACGTAGCCCTAATCACCGCAGGGGTCAATCCCCTTCGAACAAGTCCGGCACTTCCTCCAAGGTGATTATTGATAAAGGATGACACGCCAATGTAGACACTGGAGAAATTATACTCTGGGGCCAGTGGTTGCACATCTCCTGTTTCCAGAGAGGGAGACGTTGCCTAATGTATAAATACTGTGGTGGGACACTATTCCCTTACCTACTGAGAGACTATAAAAGAAGCCGAGTGGAAACCATCAGGGATGCAGGGAGCCATGTCAGCTTCCTTTAGACACAGGCCTTCTAATGTCTTTTAAGGGAAACAATCATCTTTCCTGATGAACCAAAATGTCCTTTAGCAGCCAAGGTCGAATTACACCCACTCTCCCCCTCCTCCCCCGCCCCCTCCCACACCCACGGTGTATCTCTATTTGTCCTATTGTCCACTGAGATCTGAGATGATTCCAATGTACTTCACACAGAAGACGTACATTTTGAACTGAATTATGAATCTTCATCATGATCTTCGTCATCATCATTTTGGATCAGTCTTTTCTAATACAGACATTTAAACGTTCGCTCATTAAATTGAAATATTGAATTTTAGTTAAAAGACAGTAAGTCAAAAATGATGGATGGATGAATGATGGATGGATGGATGGATGGAAGGATGATGGATGGAAAGATGTGGGCAGAGATGGAGATGGATGGACAGATGTGGGCATAGATGGAGAGATGAACAATGGATGGATGGAGGATAGAGCAAACATGGGGATACATAGATGATGTAGGAAAAGATGGATGGAGGATAGAGCAAACGTGTGGATGGATGATGGTTGGATTGTGGTTGGATGATGGTTGGATGGAGGTCCATTATATTTGCACTTACTCATTATCGTGAATAGTCAAACCAAAGTTAACGTTACTTCCATGGTGCGTTTGAGAACCGTCACTAAACTTCTTGCTCAACAGTTTGACTATCGTTATATTGTCGTTCCATGTTTTGTTCAGTTTGACTGGTTTTGTGTTCCATAAAAAATGAATGGAAACATGTTTGAAAACACACATGTATCATGTTTCCTGCTGCATTAATAACAGTAGATCATTGTGTGTTATTATAGTTGTGTTATGTCGGGGGAATAATCATGCGCTAAGTGTGAAGCATTAATAATGCCCAACACTATGAATTCTTTATAATCACTGCTGTTGTAAACATTTCGGAACTGTTTATACACGAGGATGAAGATTTAATTCGGAGCAAACTGGAAATTTTCCTATTGATGAAATAGTGTGTAATGTAATGGAAAATTAATACATCTGCGAAACAGCTCATCAGTGGTAATAAATACACCGCGTTGCACGTGATCAAAGCCGCGGAACTGATCGTTTCTTTCGCGATATTGTACAGATATTTACTGCTCTGCCGCTCGTCACTTCCAAGTGTAACGCGGGGAAAAGTCAGGCAAAAGCAGTTGCTTAGGAGGTGCCATGTCCCACCAATCATTCTCCCTTTTTAAAGGGGTTCCAATGGCACCTGAGGGGGAATCTAATGGCTGTCATCCCAGAAAGGCTGGCGCACTGATGCCTGCTTACCATCTGCTCCCCATATGAGCAAAAACAGGCAATTGTCTCGGAGAATGCATCTCAATCACACTGCCACTGATCCACTCTACTTCACCTCCAGCTTTTGGACAACGTTTGGGGAGAGTCTGTAACACCTGGAGACTGTGCTCACTTCCAGGAGGTAACAGTAAACGGTACCGTGTGCCTGTGCTGGAGGTGCAGTGTATTTGAAATGTATATCACAGAGCGGCCCTGTCACCGCATCGACTTGGCATTTGACAGTGAAAAAAGCCCAACAGTGGGACCCTGTCAGTGTTACACTTCCTGTAAATAACCCCTCCATGCCTTTGGTTTTATCATTCCCCGCAAATGATTCCTGGCCCCTCCAGAGTCGACAAGAAATAGCATTATTTTATGGCACGGAAAAAAGAGGGAGATAAAAAGAGGAGCCAGGGAGAGAAAAAGGGAGATGGGGCTAAAAAAAGGTCCTTCAGGGAACATGGTGTAAATGAAGTTCCAGGAATGACACAGGCGAGCAATGAGGCGTGGATGGAAAATATACGCTGCACATCATCGGATAGAGATGCCAGTGGAAATGGCTTCATTGAAGTGTCAGCCCTCATCCATCAATCAATCATCCGCAAGAAACAATAACACTGCGGCGATGGGGCAGCTTTTATGGGGCTTACTCATGGGTATCAGAAACAGCACTTAAGTGAAGTTCTGACACTGGGAGAAAAACAGAGGTGAGGCGCTCGCCTTATTCCATATGCAGGTGGAGAGGATAGGGAGAGAGGGAGGGAGGGGGTGAGAAAAGAGGGCTAAGTATATACAGTGGGAGAGGAGCTCTGGTCCAACACAGCAGCAGTGGAGTTCTTTAGCCTCGGCATAGTCTCTTTCTTCAATTCAATGCCATTTTTAATCTTATTTTTTTCCAGTGAAAACGAAGCATAAAACTATGTTAATCCTGAATTACTCCACCCTGAGGTGGCGCTGCTGCTGCTCCCACTGCCTCCTCACTGGAATCGATACATAAAGTTCATGACGGTGTCGTGGTCTGAAGTGGAACTGGGTTTTTTTTATCACTTACTTGGAAGTGTTGGTGCAACGTCGTCCTCTTTTGTGGTGTCGGGAAAATGACCACATTAACTCACATTAGCTTCCTGTTTCGTGTAACGTGAATATTACACCACATTACTGCAGTACAGTACACATGGTGAATGTTTCATCCTTATGTTCCATCCAAGTACACATGGTGAATGTTTCATCCTTACTCTGCAGCTAGTACTTTCATGAATTTCAACATACGTTGGTGCCGAGTCGGCAACTATTCAAAGTTAATGTTTTCAGATAGGGCCTGGTCTAATACTGCAAAAATACTCACTGCTACTGCTTAGATACTCGTCTCTGTTAAGTAGCAAAAATCTGACCATGACCCAAATACAACGGGACACTGCACACGTGATACTATAAAACTATGAAGATATATTTTATGAGGTTTTGTCTAATCGAATGAGGTGTAATCTAATCTGATCTAATCTAAACATCTGTTTTTATTGCACTATTTTTTTGCCTGTGATTTTTGTTAATATTTTAATTATTTTTAATCCATTAAATCAATTGGATTAGATTGGATTAGATAATAATAAAGCTACAGTGTGTAGACTTTATCACCATTTTTAAAACTCATTCATTTGAGTTAAGAGCTACAGTGTGTATACTTTATCACCATGAGTTTTTAAAATTCATTCATTTGAGTTAAGTATTCTTTATATCAACATCTCTGCCCAAACACAGAAAATAATTTACTTGCTCTCAGTTGTTAATTAAATGTTGAGAATATTTAATAGTAAATACAATACAATCCAACACTGTGTCCTCCAATGACATAATAACACTTGGACTTTGCGTCCCAAAACAGAGCCTGTTCTCCACTTTGGGGACCACTGGCTGTATTTGAACGTTTCTAAAGTAGGTTTGTGTTTGCTGCCAAACAGGAGATGAGCTGTGATAGATCATCCGGGGATCATCTGAGCCCACACACACATTTAAATGATACAACTTCTGCGACCGAAGTATTTCTGTCTAATTTAGTTTCAGTGTTGAGCTCAAGTAAAGACGAGGTTAAAAAATGCATGAGCAAATGCTCATGAACAGAGTGCTTCATACTGCACATGCAAGAGGAGGAAGTAATACAGCATCTAATCTATATGTACTTACATATGTGCATTTTTACGACATAAAAACAAGCAAAAAAAAAAAAAGCTAAACGCTACATCAGTCGCACAGGCAGTATGTGAGCTTTTGATTTCCCCAAACTAAGTCTCTTGATGGCTTCTCGGCAACATGAAACATGACACGTCATCCATTATTCTGTACATGTGCCTTGCTATCTCAGGCTGCTCCATATGGCCCCTGTTGTCTCCAGACACCCAAATCCCTTTCCTCAGGCCAGGGGCTGTTTTTGTGGGAACCATTACACTGCGCCTCTCCCTCAGAGGAATGGGGTGACGATGATGAGCGCACACAGCCACAGCAGACTTTCTGCCTCAATTCTGACAACGTATTCAACAATTGACCGTATCCGCTGGCCCAATTGCTAATTCATGCAAGTTGACAATCTGGGGGCAACAATTATGAGTGATGAAAGCACTAAGAATAGCTCTTAGTGAAAGAGAAACACATTGACGTGAGTTCACAAGGCAGAGGAGTGCAGAGGATGATTTCAGTAAAAGTCTTAAACATAAGCTCCTTTAAATCTCAACACAGTCAACAGAAAAGCAGAGAACGACCAAAGCCTTAAATACCATTTGTGGTATTGTATTGTGTGCACCACGTAATGAAATTTAAAAATAAATAAATAAAAGAAAATAAGTCGCTGCGAGGACCTCAGGTGTTTGGTGCCCAAGCGTTTTAATACAAAAGAAATAGAGCAACAACTGAAAAGGAAAAAGTTTGTGATAATAAAAAATGTAATATATCACTAGTCAGAATTTTTTCTGTGTTTAAAAAAAACGTATCAGCATAGGAGAGAACGTCTGAGTGAAGGCTCAATTTTTCTGTAAATCTATAGGTTTGCCTTTATGGTATTATTGTATAAATCTTAAAGAGTTTCTAAAACTCCAGGCTAATATATATATATATATATATATATATAAATCTATATAAAAAAGAGAAAGGCAGAGAAAAGGGCTACAGTGTGATTGCAACTGTAAACACAATTTGAGAAAAATTATAGAGAATAAACAAAAAATGAAAACACACACAGGCGCAAACCTGGAGAGTACAACTGTGTATTTTTCGATCTTTGTTGTAAGTTTTCACATCAAAAAATGTTTCAGTTTTTATAGACACAGGGATTTCCTGGGCGCAGGTCACAGGCTGTTGTCAACTTGCCTTCTGTGCCACGTATTTGCACTAAGTTCGCTCAAATGTGGGGGATATGAGGGTGATGCTAAGTGAAATGCTCATTTTGCGTTTGTGATTACCAAGGCCCATGGGCGATATGCACTAATGTGAGCTAATGCAATAGATTACACAGTGCAGGCCCAGGGGAGCAGACAGCAAACAGATGTGGTCTACTCAAAATGGGAGGGGGGAAGAGAAGAAAAGAAGGACAGAAAAAAAATCAAAGTTTATTGCGTTGAAGACCCGTCGCCTGCAATTTATTGACAGAATGCAACGACATAATAGGCTGTGTCTGTTTACTTTTTGGTAGTAATTATGAGAGTCAACAATAAAGCTCTCATGACAACAATATAGTCATTGAACTTCTGATGGGGGGGCAGGAGGGTTAATCATTTTATTTATGGTCGATTCACATGTGGAAAAAAACTTCAGCCTTAAGTCATAAATGACGTAAAATGAGCTCATTGGTTAACTTTTACTTTTACTTTGCAAACGACGCTTGTGTAACACCACTAATGTAGGTTTAATCACATGTAAAGCATAGCTATTATAAACTAAATAAAAAACAGCGAGCACATTAACACAATCACGAACTTTCGATCATTTTTAACTAATTCAACGTGTATATATCAATACACCCTGACATCTACAGCAACCCAGGGTGGGCATGCTAACCTCTGAAACATACGGCGTCAAAGAAAGCTGTAATCTAAACTTTGTAAATATTGCCATCTCGTGGTGAACGTGAGTCATTGGCAACACCGAGCCCGCCACCAGTTTTTAAGATTAATAATTGTTTCTTACCACAAATAAAAATATGTGGAAGATTATCGGTTTTTAATTAGAAATGGGTATCATTTTTTGGAACATATTTCCCGAAAGAAAGACGGAAAAGATAGAAAAGATAGTGACAATTAAAAAAAAAAAAAACTTAACGAGTCTGAATCCACTGACTGCGATGTTGCATAGGATTGGGTAAACCCGCCCTTAAATGAACTGGAACTTTAGTTACAACAAAGTTAAAAGGTAAGAATGATACACTGTTTAAAGTCTGACAATATCAAGTGAGAAAATTGTATGGTTCCCTCAACATTCCTGTTCTAGAATGTAGGTTCAAATATGCCAGAAATGCTTGTTACTTGCTACTGTTGCTGTGGGCTAACTAGCCAAACAAAAAAACAAAGCTAACAAATATGGCGACCAATCTTTTTTCAGCTTTCAAAATAGCCAATTTATGACCAATATTGTAATATAATTAAAATGTCATATTCCATTTTTATTTGCAAATGTCTTTTTTACTAGGAAAATGTAGCTAAAAACTGAACTGTGAAACCAGAGCCAAATACACAGAAATCCATCTTAAGAGTTGCATCTGGTGTATTCCATGTGTATTTAAATAAAAGTATTACTGTACCAAAGGTCATGTAATGAAGAAAAGAAGCAAGTATTTTGAGCTACTATTGATTCAATATAATTCACCTAGCAAAATTGTTTTGGTAACATTTTTGAAGAGGAAGTCAGCCATTTTGTATTTGTGGTGATTTTGAAAATCTGTTCCTTAAACATCACCACACATCACAGATGATTTCTGATAGTAATATTAATTTAATTTTGCTAGTTCATTGCAGGAACACATGTAGGAGCAACTTTCTAGACATATTTAGGTTTTGTTTTTTTCAAACATACATTAAACCTGTGTGAGACCTACTCACAAAATGACTAAGTATATACCCTTCTTTTTCAATTTGAGTGAAATTCAAACTGTATTTGTCTTTGACTTGAACAAGGCTGTGTGAGGTTTTTTTTATCCAACATTCTAAATAACTGTCCATTGCAATCTCAGAATGTAAGCACTGTAATCATCTAAAATAAATGCAGCTAGTAAATCTGTTTTATTCTGACAGAGCAGCTCTGTGCAAATCCAGCTCGATGTATATGTAACCTAAGCCTTGTACATATTAAAAACATGTCGGTTGTGCTAGGTAATGGCACCAACCTACCTCATTAAGTGTTCACATAAAAACCTATACTGCAGCAGAATGTTTCCTGGGTTGTAAAAATTGTCGTAATGACGGTTTGTGACATAGTACCAAAAAAATATATAACCAAGAAGCCAGACAGCTCTTCGCCTCGTACTTTATTATTGAAATGTATCATACAGTTTTCAAACAATATTTTCCATATACTTAAGTACACGTGTAATATAAATTCCAAACAAAAATAACTTAACCAAAGCCTGGGTGGCAAAAATACAAATTCACAACAGATAACAATAACCTGAGACTTTTTGTTCACAGTGTATAACTGAACCAGCATTGCCAGTTTGTTTGTTTTCTCCAAACTGCACAGCCACACGTTTAAAAAAGGCCCCATTGATGTTCAGACATTACTGACTGCTGCCACTTTAAACAAAACTCTTCTTTCAGAAGCTTTTATAGTAAAAACAAGATCCCGAATAGTGATTTACTGGACAGCCCAAGAAAAAACAGCATTTTTTTTAAACAGACGCAAACAGAAATTGTTGGAATTGAACATCCATGGATTGGACCATTAAAGCAGGAGATAGATGTTTAACTATTCCAGAGAAACCACAGGCAAAAAAAGTCAAATAATTTTGAACACATTAACTTGAAAAATACAGTATTTGAACCGTTGTCTTGGTCGATACAGCCTGGGAAACAGCTGCTTCTTGTAGTTGAACGTGTCGTCAATGACATGTCTACCTAATTGTACTCAACAGTTGTTTTACAATCAACAGAATACTAGAACTTCAGCTGATTTGTAATTTGACTGCAGCTGAGCAAAAACACTGGTGTCGGGAACATGAGGTAGACCAACACAGAAGGACTTGTGACTATGGTCCGTTTGTAAACTGCTGGGCCAAACCTGTCAAGTATTTCTAGACAAAACCTCCACCCTCCAGTGCTTGGGGAATAAGAAAAACAAAAACTACAGTGCCTAATTACTGCTCTAGGGCCAACAGTTAGTGACCATAGCAACAATTTATCATGTTATTCTTCTTAGGTTTATAGTAATACAATATATATATATATACATATATATATGTACCGAAACACACAGCTATACTGTTGTATTCCCACATATGAATTTTACTGTTATGTCATAGACACTTACAAGCATTAGTGTGGGTCAAAATGGACAAAGAAAATATTTTAAGTGGAGAAAAAAAATTACAGTGCACTTGAGTGGAGTAATAACAGAGAAATATATTGCCCTTTGTCAAGAAAGAAAAATAAGAGTACACTGAAACCCAAGCTCTTAAGGTGTCTATGAAACAAGTTTTATAATATTGAATACATTTTAAATTATGGGACCATAGACACTCCCTGAGCACAGGTAAATAAGGTAGCAGCACTTTGATATAAAGGACAAAAAAAAAAAAACTTTCAATATGACTTTCATCTGTCAGGTACCAGGGTAAAATTCTGGTCATCCAAAAAAAAACCTCATTTTATGCATATCCAGATATTCTTTCAGTATTTTCTTTTACCTTTCTGCCATTTTAGGTACTTTTGTCAGTAGCCCCATGCCATTGATTAGGAAACAGGCCTAGGGCGTCTCTTCTCTGCAGGTTGGGCAGAGTAGGCAAGTGTTGGTACAGCACTGTTCTGCCCCCTGAGAAGACAAATCTGCAGTGTTACCTCTACAGCTGAGAAAATATGCACACATTCAACAGTACTCTGTATGTCCCCACTGTACAACAGTATGCATCACCCCTGAAGAAGTGATCCTACAACATACCTGCTCTTGAGTTAGACAGTCCTCCATGAATGGGCATTGGTGCTGGTGTGCTGTGATAAAGTGATGCCAGATCATTAGGTGTGTAGGGGCGTAGAAGGTTCATCATGGTCCACTCTGTGTCCAAACCCCCTCTAATAGCTGTCGGCTTATTCTTTACAGCAGCCAACGTCTCAGAAAGTGTGGAGGGACCTGACGTTTGTGACGTGGGTTTCACACCTCTGCCTGAGATAATGAGTCTGCTGGATCCATCCACCAAAGGTCCTCTGAAGCCAGGTTTCTCGCTGATGTCGCCTTCCCTGACTGTGGGTACCGAGTATTTCAGTCTTTTGTTAGAAGGTTCACCAAAATCCATCTGGGGGAGGCTCGTAAACTGACGTGACAGACACAGCCTGGCAGCTTCTGAGTGCCAAATGACATCGCTTCGTGCAGGGTAAGTCCTCTCACCAATTCCCACTCTGTCTGTAGGGCCTGATTTGTCTGTTACACACTTGCCACCTGTGCTGGGTTTCCTCGTGTTATCCGAGTACCTGGAGGAATCCTGAGTGAAATGTGAATCAGTGTTCTGTCTGTAATGCTGGGTTTCCTGGACATCACGATGCAGGGGTGCATGGAGGGGTGAACGTTTAGGACCACGAGAGAGGTCAGTGGCCGTCTTCTCCTTTGGTTTTGCAGGCTGGGGCGGTGGAGATTTGGTACGGCGAGGGTGCCTCCTGTCTCTCATCGGAAGTGGGCTGACATCTTTGCCTTCGAGTGCAGGGGGGCAACCTGTCAAACGTTTCTGTTTGGCTCCCATTCCAGTCCTTTTTATGCTCTCTGACTTGTCTTTGTGAGTCAGATTTTTATGCATTATCAGAACTTCTGGGTACATAGTTTTATAAGCACACAATGGACAGGCAATAGGTGTTAATGCAATTCTGGGCTGCGCACTGACAGGGATAGAGAAGGAGACTTTCAGGGACAGATTTAATGGTGCCTCTGAGTTTTCTTCTTTTATATCTTCTCTTTCCAACTTCATGTTGAGAGGTAAAGGGCATTTTATCAGCACATCGTCATTTTGTGAATTTGCAGACTTGGCAAATATTTTTTCACTCTCAGCATCATTTATCTTGAGAAGGGGTTTGCAAAGTTTGCCGTCACTATTGAGTTTCTCCTCAGGTGTTCCATTGACACATGTTTTAGCGCTTGGATTCCATAGTTTGGATGGATTTTGGACAGGACTTCCATCGTCATTCTCTTGTTTTACGTCAGTGGGAGAGGGCACAGAAGGTGCAGGTCTGCTAAAGATCTCCACAAAAGGCTTGTTCTTGTGACGACGGTCCAGGTGATATTTCAGAGATGTCTTCTGGGCTGCAGCATAGTCACAGTATGCACACTTGTATGGTTTTTCCCCTGAAACGGTGAAAAGAAAGCAAATAAATATGCAACATATGACACAGTGATACATTTCTCATTTGTACATAAAGAAATCAAGTTAAAATGCCTGTACCTGTGTGTGTTCTTAGATGAACTGTGAGGTAATAGCTTGATCTGAATGATTTGCCACAGTAACTGCACTCCTTTGATCTGACTTTTGACCGATCAAAACCATCTTCACCTTTAAAAACAGAAGCACATAAATTAATCCACATAAAAGTGTCAAGTGACAAGATAAAATATAACACACTGTGTTATCATTATCCATCAGCAGAGGGAGCCTTAGAGACTGAAGTGTTTTTGTAATATTGAACAAGACACTTTTCTTTCACTTTTAAAGTCTGTTATCCATAAAATGTACCTTGACTGAGGTTTTCTGTCAGTGCTGGATCCTCAAAGCCCTCCTCAGGGACGTCCTCTCCATGCTCTATTGAGTTTACTCTCGACAACTTCCCATCAACAGAAGAAGTAGGGCTCTCCTCGCCGCCTCGCTCACGCTTGTGTACCCTGGAGTGGAGAACTAACTGGTGGTATGTCCTGAAGGTCCTCTGACATTCCTCACAAGTGGTTGGCCTTTCTTTGTCCTTAGTTTTTTGCATGAGAGACCTGCGCTGTGGTGCTGGGTTTTCAGCTAAAGACTGATGCTGGGAGCGCAGCTCTCGCCCGAGGACTCCTTTCACAGTCTTGTCTCCTCCTTGGCTCTCAGACCAGATAGCATTCAGCTCCTCTTTATCAGAGTTGCAGTCTTCATTGTCCGTGCTGGCTTCCTGGCCAACATCTTTAGTATTATTAGGACCAACAGCTATCTTGCCCTTTGTGGCAAGCTGCCAGGCCTGATAAGTGTTGAAGGGGTCTAACTGAGGAATCCATTTGGATGATCTCACGTGTTGCAAAGTATTTCCTGCTGGGCAAGGACGTAGGTTTAGACCATGAAGGAATGTTTCCTGATTTGAAAGGGAGTTGCTAGTTGAATCCATGTTCTCTTTATCTCTATATTTGGCATGTTCCACTTCTCTATTGTGCACTTTGCTATGTTCAACTAAGCTGTCATGGTCTGGGAAGTAAAAGCCACAAACCATGCACAGTTTGTAAACAGTGACTACAGGTTCCGAAGTTGGCTCTTGAACAATGCCATTGACTGTGACTGGAACCTCCAGGTCCTGCTGAGCCTTGCTCTTTGCCCCTGGTTTTCCATGCATCTTCATGTGGTTCTTCAAAAACCATGGTTCTCTAAAACGCCGTCCACAGACATTACAGCAGTAGGTAAAGTAGTCTTTGTGCTTTCTCATATGTGTCTCTAGCTCACTGGCATCTTGCGATACCTGACCACACACGATGCAGCTGTGAACATCCTCCTTTTCATGATTGAGGCTACTGTGTTTAGGTCGAGGCCTCTCTCCTGGGATCCTGAATTCTGCTTCCACACGAAGCACAGTGGGTTCAGAGAAAGTAGTAGGGTGTTGTGTTAGTACGTGGGGTCCTAGCTCATCCTGGTGACTAAATGTAAGATCACAGAACATACAGGAAAATGGTGAACTTCCTGCAGATTGCAACACAGCCTTTTCTGAGTTGGTGGTTTGTGGAGTCATGCTAGACCCAAGGCCAGGGATGCTTGCATTGTTACTAATCAGAATATCTTGGGCAGGGCCATCTGGGCTCTCCATGAATGGCAGCAATGAGTGGGTTGGCATTGTTCTCTCGAGGTGGAGCAACAGTGGTATTATCACTGTCCAGACCTAAAGGAACCTGGAAAACATAAATGGAAAAGTATCATTAGAGTAGAGCTATGGAGGAATAAAAAAATTGCTCCTGCAATAGGTGTGACTGATTTTTTCATAAACACCCAAATTCATTATTTAATGAAAAGAAAAACCACTCAGCAATAAAGCTAAACTGAAAATATACAGTTTGTCACAGTGAAACAGGAAATGTATCTTTTTAGCAATCAACTACTCAGACAAGTCATTTCCTCTACACACAGGGCATTTTTCCCTCCTGCACACATTTCTATTTTTTCCCCACTATCTATGTAAAACTTTATTTATGCCACTACTCAACTGACATAAATAGGATTACCATTGTTATAAGAGAATATTACATCTGACATAAATAGGATTACCATTGTTATGTAAGAGAATATTACATTACATTACAATACATTACCATTCCTATACAAAAAAGCAGCTTTGAAAACTACACTGTAGTTTGAATTTAAATGAAATAGTGACTGCAATAATAATTAAAATTTATTACATGCAATGACTTGAGCCATGGGTTGAGCACAGTGATTCTCAACTTGTAGTTATTTATTATTATAGTTATTTTAAGAGAAGACAATATAAGAAACTGTTGTCAATTTATATTAATGAAGCATTTAAGACGCTATAATAACGCAAGCACACACTGACTTGGTGAATTACATTGCACACTGAGTGAGTTACTATCTGGTATGTGCCAGGTGTGTATGGCTTCCTTTGTTTTGTTCTTTCTGAGACTATTTGTAGTCTGTGTCAAATAGTAGCTCAGGAAAGTCAAAACTCTTCTCAATACATAGAGTACTGTAAATTACCTGAGGGCCAGATGCTCCTGCTAAGATATGCCAGCCTGTAACTAAGTCAAATGCAAATCCAAGAATTCCAATTGTTTTGTACAAATAATAGCCTTTGTTTCAATAACAATGTATAAATATACTGTAAGACACTCAGTCCTGAGCATGCAGTTAAAAATCACTAAGTAGACTCGACCTGACATTAGTAACATTGACATTGCAAAACATGCAACATTTGGTTAAGTAACCATTTATTCTCTTTCACTAGTAAAAACAAGGAGCACAAAATGGCTGTTGCAAAACCTCAAGAGAGGAATTACAATTCAGGCTTGTATGATTTATTGGTTTAGTTTGACCTAATGGGCCACAATAACTTAGGGGCCACATAAAAGCTGTTCAGCCATAATAAGCCCAAAGGACTGACTTTGCACAGCCCTGCTGTAGAAGCAGGGTTTTTTTTTTTTTTTTTTTTTTTTTTTGTTTTTTTTTTACATTGTCAGGCCACAAGTAAACTGGTAATTAAAACATTTGGCAGACAACAACAGTTACATATATTTATGTAATCATCACAAATTAAAACAATTTCCTGTGTAGTTAAAGTGATTTACAAAAAACAAAGCCTGTGTATTTTATAAATCTAGCTTTTTATCTAGCTATATATATTATTGTTACTTTATTTTATCACAAATGATCAATAGACAGTTAATATTCTCCTAAACTATGTTCATAATAATTTGAGATAATTGTATTGTCTTTAAGACTCAGCATATTTACATGATTTGCTTATATTCAAATTATCTACAATGTCTTCAGAAATGTAACCACAGATGCACAACAGGCTAATCAAAACAGAAATTGTTTAATCGTTGATCAGAACACAGAACCTTATTTGCACCCCTGACAATTGACTGATTGATAACTGTCTGCCTCTCTTCCTCTCACATCATGTTTGTGTCTGTGACCTGAATATTGTGGCTAGCTAATCTCTCAGGTTTTAACAGTCTTTACTCTGTGGTGTATTGTTTTGTATGCATTGATTTATACACACACATAGTCACTGTACATTGTTCAACCAACTTTGTACATAAACTTAGTTG